TGCAGCGGCGGAGGAGGGGGGAGGGACAGCTCTCCGCAGAGGGGGCGGGGCCTCCTCGCCGCGGCTTGTCAGTCCGGCGGGGAGAGGGAGAGGGAGGGGCTGCCCAGCCAGGGGCGGGGCTTTGCTGGCGGCGGTGGGAAGCCCGCAAAGGGAGCGCGAGCGAGATGCGCGGGCCGTACGCGGGCGTGTGTTTGCGCTTCCAGAGAGGCGTGCAAAGACCGGGCGCGCGTTTTCTTGCTCTGCCGGGAAATTTCGCCCTCCCGTCTGCGGCAGGCGCCCGGAATATTCGACGCCAAGGAGGAGGGTGTCTCTGAGCATGCATGGACGGCATCGCGGCTGGTTCTCCTTTCGCGCCGGGAGGTCAAAGTCCGCCCAGCCTACCCGCTGACTGTAAGGGAAGGAGGAGTCAGAAGGGCTCCCGGGCACGTGCAGAAGGCGTTTCGCCTAATCACAGTCCCCCCACCGGGCACCCCGAACTCCGTGATGGGATCCAACGATCCCCCAAATGCGCTGCGACGCGAGGAGCGTGAGCATGTGCAGAGTGCACAGGCTCTCCCTCTCCTCCGAGGGAAGCTAAGTCCCCGAGGCGCGTGAAAAGGGAAGGAAGCGCCCGCAGTCGAGCCGGTGGGGGCGCCTTCCCTTTCAGGGTGGCCGCGGCAGACGGGCAGGCGGGGTGAGGGGAAGCGGTTGGCGCCTGGGAGCGCGGAGGGGCCGCGTGTCTTCCGCTCGCCGGGCAAAAGAAGGCGGTGGAAAGGCAAGGTAGCCCCTTCAGGCACCGAAAAGGGACCCGTAAGGAAGGTGGTCGGGAGCCCTTCCGTGGCCGCAGAAACCAAGACCAGAAATAAGGGTAGCGTTCCAGTCGGCCTGCAGAAACGTTGGCGTGCTCACGGCTAGTCAAGGGGAGCGTGCAAAGAGCAGAACGGGGCACGCCGTGGTCTTCCCTGCGGCCCTCCGTGGAAGCGCAAGTTGGGCTCTGAAGATGCAGGAGAGGAAGAGCATCGCGCCTTTGAACTTCGGGGTTGGAGAAGACGCCCGAGGATACCCTGGACGGTCGAGGAAGCAAACCGACGGATCATCGAACAAATCAGCCCAGAGGGCTCACTCGAGGCGCAACGGACCAGGCTCAAAGGAGCCTACTTGATGCGAAGACCCCGCTCTCCGGAGAAGGCTCTGATGCTGGGAAAGGTGGAAGGAAAGAGGAGAAGAGGATGACCAGCAGCAAGGGGGAGGCACTCAGTTATAGAAGTGATGGAAGGACCATTGGAAGACCTGAAGGACTAGGTTAGGGACAGATCATCATGGAGAAAATCTCTCTACATCAGGGTTCCTCAACCTTGGCAACTTTAAGACGGGTGGACTTCAACTCCCAGAAT